ACCTCCCATATAAGAGTCCAACCCGAGTGCCATTAGAGTATTAGACCACAAAGTCTTGGCTTCCCCTCTCTATCCATAATTCGCTTACATTCCTCAAAGAATTTCCAAAGCACGGACCCTGATATAACTTCGATATTAATTAAAATATAATCATACAAATTAAATACTATGGAAGAGTTTCTTAGCCCAGGATATCCTGACAGCAAACTTTGATGTGAACTCTTGGGCCCAGCCCACTTTGTTTCAATGGATTTCTATATGGGCCTTAAACACGTTATGAGTAATGTTTGGGTCTTGCGGGGCCTTTTTTTTTTTATTTTTATTTTTTTTTTAATGAACTCCATTAACGAAAAACCAACAAACTGCTAACCCAATCATTAGCGTATGGACCAGGGTCCACACAAGTTGTATAAAATATATAAATCATATTTTGTATATTATAAAATAATGTACATTTTATATAAAAATAATGTACTTTTAATATATTTAAAAATATACATTGTATTCAAAGGATATACATTATTTTGTGTACGGAATGTACATTATATTATATAATGTACATTTAATACACAAATAATGTACATTTGATATATTAAAAATATACTTTTTATTATAGTCCACACAACACTATGTGAATCATAATCCACACAATAATTTGCCGATGAGACATGAGACCATAATCTTAGGACAGATTGAGAGTCTGCAATTTTAACAATTGAGTATGAGCCACAAGATTCACTAATCTATGGACATGACAAACAACAACAATATTTAAACTACAATGTAAAGAAGTGCACAAATGATTGAAACAAATGAAAGGACAAATCAATAAAACAAGTGGAACAGCTACTACTAGACTCAGGCTCCTACATTCAATTTTAACAACCAACTAACCCTCAAGCGACCATGTCAAATTAGTCTGATGATCTGCACATTTATTTCGTTCATATAGAGTAGAAAATACTCTTATCTAGTCTTATTTAAAAAATTCTTTACAATCACATAAGAAAGTAGCTTCTTCAATTCCCAAATAGCCCTTTTAAAGATGAGTTATAACTACAAACTCTGAATTCATCTCCACTCAATACATTCATCCAAGCTCTCCGTAATTTAGTAGAAAACTATCCAATATATATGGTCAACTTTTATAATGAACTCCATCAACTAATTCACAAAAAAAAAAAAAAAAAAAAAAAACAAGAAATAATCTTTTACTTAATGATTAACTATGAGAAATGCAATAATGCATAAAGGTATGTGAATGTATATACTATACACATGCATATGCACATGTTTTCTTTATATATATATATATATATATATATATATATATATATATATATATATATAATCCTAATCATATGAGAACATATGCGGACCCAAAATGGAGGCAGTGGGGGCAGTGCTGCCCCCACTGCCCTACTCCATATAAATGGTATATATATTAAACATATAAACATTTAAACAAAGTTAGGTTTGGCTGAGATGGTAAGGTCATTATTTGACTTCAAATATGAGTGAAAAAGGTCAGCAGTTCTATGCATTCCATTTGTACTGATGTAGTTGTTTAATAGTTATGTCAATTACTAAGGACGAATACATTTGCTAGAAATTCGTTAATGTTAGCTGGCATAGTTGTTTAACAATTTTATTCGTATTTGAACATTGTATTTGATCATTTTTTAATTCATTTTACCTTTGCTTTTTCGTCCCCACTCAACGTAAATCCTGAGTCCGTTACTGTATGAGAACCACTCCCAGGTGAGAACTTGTGGACAAATCCAAACCTTGACGAGTCTCGAAACCACATATTATTACTATTGTTGTTGTTGTTGTTGTTGTGACGAGTCTTACAGCCATGTACTATTTGAGAATGTGCACACGGGAGATGTACATCACTAATAAGAACCCGTGTGATGAGATTCACAGAACTGATGTTGACAAGAAGCAAACTCATGATCTTTTAGTACGAAAATTATCCCACACACACTTAGTCATCTCTTTTGGTACACTATTTCCCCTTATTTTATAGCAGCCATTGGATGAGATCTATGCTATATGGCTTTATGTTTCACATTATCTTGTTCTGGGCTGGCAAAGATCACTTTGAATATAATCCATGTGCTCTTCACTGAGTTTTCAGTGCCTCTGTCCAATTGCTGATATGATTACAGAAGCATGTGATATGCTGGTGGGAAGAATGACAAAACTTATTGCACCAGTTCAATGCAACTACTATCCAATCTACCCAACTCAAACTTTAAAACATGTATTATTTACACATTAAATATATTTGATAAAGTTAGCCCCATAAATGTGTACATTCTAAAACAAATTTATATGTAAACTAAATGATAACTAACCCAACTTGAACAACATTAATTAACATGACTTGGTGGTTAATTAAATTCCTACCGGGAGCTCGACTATGTTTCTTTTTTATTGCATTGAAACGATTTTGCCATGTTTTATTTTATGTGTTTAATATCTCGGTGTGAAAATTATGTTGTACCAATTTATCACTTTTTTGGAGAGACATTATTTTATTTAATGTTTCAGACGTTTTTGTTAGCTGGGCTCTTAACTATCATGGACCAAAAATCATTTCATAAATGCACCGGCATTCATCTTTTTATTTTTATTTTATTTATAAATACATTTGAACCAAATATAGGTTTTAATTAATAATGACTTGCTACTAAATAAAGGATCCAAGAAAATAAAGTAAATATATAGAAGCTGTACTGTTTTTTTTTTTTTTTTTGGTGTTGAGGAAATTTGCATCCACTATTTGAAGATAAATGTTCCGCTCTTGTGTAATAGTTTACAAATCGCACAGAATAGGTAAAATTTACTAGGAAAATTTTGTATGTACAACATACTCAACTGAGAAGGTGCTAACAAAAATTAAACTCATGACCTTTTTAATACAATAATTATGTACCACTCATTCATTCTCTCATTTTTTTTCAAGTTGATTGATTTTCTTTGAAAAAGCTAAGGGAATGAGAGATTAAAAAAGAAAAAAAAAAAAAAAAAAAGCAGTATAGCATGGGCACATGCACTTGTGTTCCTATGGGGTAATATATAATAGTATGGGAAAAGAGAGGTCCAAATTAAACTACAACCAGATCAAATCTAGCAAGCTTATAAGACAAATAAACAAATGGGTATGGTGCAAGCAGAGTATTTAGGAGGTTACAAGATTTTGTTGAATTTTGAACAACATTGTTACTATTTTACATTCAAAATTAAAAATATTAGTAATCTTGTCCGGAATAGTCGTTATAAATGTTAATTTGTGGTTATTAGATGGCCAAGCTCTGAGTCTAGGTCAAGTTCGTGTCGGTTAGGAGCCCAAGATTAAATAATCAATTATGGGCTAGAGCCCTTGTCTCTACACAATATAACGTGATTGTGTGTAACTCTCTATAGGGCGCACAATCTTGAGTGTAATCCTAAGATGATTTAGAACTAGTTCGCCCTTAAACTGACTCATGATAACCTCCGGCAACGTCAGTGATATAGAGCTAACATGCAATGCCAAAATATGCTAACAAGTAACAATATTTTTATAATAAAGTTTATAATTTTTTTTATAGGAAAATTGACGATTTTAGTCCATTAGTTATATCTAAATTGTAGATTCAATCCATGAATTATTATCATATACAAATATTTCCATTTTAATAATTATATTTAAAGTGATAGTTTGAATCCATTATTTATAAATTTTGTTAATATTAATAATTTATTTTAAATTTCTAAAACACATATTGGCCTTTTCGTAAAATTTTCACAAATTCTTCCATAAATTTTCATAAATATATGCTACTCAATCTTCCTACAAAATAACATCTTAAGTTTTACAAAATAACAATCTAAGTTGCACTTGTTAGTTTAACATACACCAAACACAACCAAAAACATCCATAGGTTGCACAAAATACATCTTAATCTGTAAATGATTTAATAGGCACCAAAATAGCAAAAAAAAAACAAGCCTTATCTAAATGTATAACGCATGGTTTCAATTATTTTACTTATTAAATTTAGAATGATTCGATGTTGTTGCTTTTTTGTTAGTCTCTTTTTTTAGGCAATTGACTAATGACCAATGTCGAAGGTTGCACTGAATCTTCTTATGTGTAATGGCAACGTAATTAATTGGTGGAGGCTAAATAATTATATATATATATATATATATATATATATATATATATATATATATTTGTCCATTATTTGCTTCATCTAATGACGAATAAACATAATTATCTTATCTATCCAACTTCCACCAAATCTAAAATCAATGTTATGATATGGTGAGGAAAAAAAAATTGTATCATCAACGAAATATAATAGTACATAAAAAATTCTGTTTAGTTTAAAATAGTAATCAACTGCACATGAGCCACAAAAGTAGCTCATCACATTGCCGCTGGTGAGACTAGATCCCTAGTCATTCTTCCAACTTTTTACCTCTATGACCAGTTGAGCTGCCCATCCGAGTTGTATTTTACATATTAAACTTACAATTGGCCAATTGGGTGTATATTTAATCAAGAGTAATCTTCTGCTTGTCATTTTTTCTTCTTAGATTCATCCTCAACCAAGACAAACAAGTAGTTACCAAGAGTACAGTTTTGCGGTAAGAGTAGCATATATATCAAGATTTATGGAGGGAATTTTGAAAATTTTTATAAGTGACCAATATCTCCTTTAATAATTTGGATATTCAAAATAAATTGTTAATGTTAACAAAATTTATAAGTAATGGATTGAAAATATAATGTCACTTCCAACATAATTAAAATTTGTATAGGGTAATAATTTATGGACCGAGTCTACGATTTAGGTATAACTAATGGACTAAAATCGTAATTTTTCATTTTTATATGTTTTTAAAACTAAATCAAATAATATTTTTTTTACCTCATATTATTTAAATCATTTTGAGTCCCAAAGAGCAAGTGGGTAGGTGTATATATAGTACGTCCAACTCCATAGAAGTCATCTCAAACAATCCATCCTCTCAGTGTGTAGTAAACAACTCATGATCTGATCTGCTGAGAAGAAGATAGAGAGCCATATTTGCTTTAAATTTCACCTGCACAATAAATATATCCAAATCTTAGGCTTAACTGTGCACTGTACTGTATTACATAGCAATGGCTAAGCTTGTTTCAGTCCTACTATTAGCCCTCATTGCCTTCTCCATGCTTTCTGCCATTGTTATGGCTTCCAATGCTCAGTACCACCTTGATGCAGTAAGTTTCTTGTTTTCTCCTCCTGTTGTTTAAGGTTGTTTCTTTGTCTTTTGTGATCCTAAAAACTGTTTTTTTGTTGTTGTTGTTGTTGTTCCAGTCACGCTATGGTCCTGGAAGCCTAAGGCCCTCTCGTAAGTTTTCTGCCTCTTACATAGACTCATCTTTCACTCCTGCTAGTCGCCAAAAGACGTAAACCAGCTTAAATTGCTCATAGCTAACTAGCTCAAACCAAGACAGTCTGACTAACTTTGCTGGGTTGTCCCAGGTTTAGTTACTCTGATCTGGTTTTGACAGTACCGGGTACAACCTAATATGTGATTGTATTCGGTTTAAAAGGGCACTTTAGGATTTTTCTTTGGATAAAGAATTTATTGGGAATTTTTCTTGGCAGAGTGCCTGCCACAATGTACAAGGAGATGCAGCAAGACACAGTACCACAAACCATGCATGTTTTTCTGCCAGAAATGCTGCAACAAGTGCCTGTGTGTTCCCCCTGGTTTCTATGGCAACAAGGGGGTTTGCCCTTGCTACAACAACTGGAAGACCAAGGAAGGGGGACCAAAATGCCCTTGAACTATACCTAATTACACAACCATTATATCTAATTACTACATTAATCACATTAATTTCCAATTGTTCCACTTATGCTTTAATAGGCCATTAATTACTTCTATGGCCTCCATTTGTTTACTCAAAGTGTACTCTACTGTTGGCTCCTCTGGGCAAGAAAATTTGTAATGCCCAAGATAGAGCTGCTTTGTTGTGCCTTTGTTATGTTTGTAGACTATATTCTGAAATGAAATGAGTTCACTATATTCATTGGCATAAATCTTGAAACAAATGTATGCAAAAAGATTGGATTTTGAACTTGTCCTGCAATCTGGGTTTAAAATTCTGTCCTTATCACCAGAAATGAATGGAAGCTAAGGGTGGGTAACTTTGGTTTCTTGAGCTCACCATGAATGATTGATTCCAAACAGTGAGTGAAAAGTAGAACATCATTGTCTGTAGCTGATTAGTGATTACTGGATATTTACTATGGTAAAAGAGCATATAATTTTATCATAAGTAGCTGCTTCTTCACTGAATTTAAGAGCACAAGTGGTTGGGGGGGGGGGGGGGGGGGAAGTTACAGTGCCAACTTTACCAATTTTGGTTCTTGACAAAACTTATAACAGTGTGCACTGGGTAAACCCTGCCTTATAACCCTAGTCGGCAAAGGACCACAATGAGGTAAACCAGCCTAAATTGCATATAGCTGACCTGCTTAGACCAGAAAGCCAATAGACTGCTCTCACTGGAAGTCGAACTTGACTGGGGTTGCCTTTGGCCGTATGATTGTTATCTTTTGGTTTTAGCTGAAGAGGTGAGGATGTTGATGTGCAAAGAATCCATACATTATAGTTTGTGCAAGAAAGGGATTACATCTACTGAGGGATGGGGATATGGAATCCAAACAAAACTTGCAAAATGTTCTTTCCTACTTGACAAAATGACAGACAATCTTAGTACATTAGCATGTACCAAGCTTGGAATTACATTGAACTAAGTTGGGAATGAAAGAACATGAAATCCTTCTAGGATTTGTGTGAATCTTTGTTTCAGGTAACACAGAAAGGTTAGAGACAGGTGAATCTTTGTTTCATAATGCATGAATGTGCTGCTGCTAAAGTATATTTAATCAACTTTACACAATAAATAAGAAGGTGTTGTTGTTGCTAGCTTGTGCAAAACTTTCAGCTCAAGAAAGAGCAGAAAACAAACTCTTGAACCAAGAAACAAATTCTTATAATTAAATTCTCATCAAACCTATAACAAGAACCTTATAATTAAGCCCCCCCCAAAAAAAAAGTCAGCATCTGTTATGGATTGGATCAGAGCCTTTTCTCACTGTTCTCTTGTCTGATTGGTTAGGATCAAGTGTCCTTGAAGGTGCTGCTGCAGGAGCATTCATCTCTGCATTATTATGCAGATCCTGCATGGAAACCGCCTGCAAAACCCGAGACCCTCTGAGAGCAAGATCCATACTCGAGAGAGCAGAAGCCTTGTCGAGTTGAAAAGAAACGAAAAACGTGATTGACAGAACCAGAATGATCACCCTACAAGAAAGGCACCCCATTTTTAGCTTCTTCAATGCAGAGAAGAAGAAACAGGAGAGAGTGGAGATGAAGAAGAAACAAGTGAAGTGGAATGTGGTTTATATGTGGAGACAATGTCTGTTTGATCTGTAGCAATTGCCTGTGCATTTAAGCTTGTGTTCCATCTTTTTATGGGATTTGAGAAACACTGATAAAGGCAGATAAAGCAGAAGAAGAAGAGAGAATGGGGTCCCAAAACACCATCCAGACAAGTTTTGAGATTCACCCCAATCATAAGCCTGCCATAGAAGCAATTTTAAGGCTGTTTTACAAGACTCAGACAGACATACAGGTTTGAATAAAAGGCAAGTTGGAACATCATTCCCGGGAAGCCAAGAATCTTTAGTTTGGTTCCCCCATGTCCCTATTATATGCCTTCCTCTTTTGGACCAATCCATTATGTTAGATCCCCTTTCCTCACTACTCTGCCATGTCATCACATTATCCGAAAATTCCATCTACAAATACATACCATCAAACAAAGATAGCCCATAACAGATCTCTTACTTAAGAGTCACAAATTTATGTTGTTCTGAATTCGAAAATCACATATATAGTGGTTTCATTCTTTCAAATATAATTTGGTTTATAAAAGAAATGAAAATGTGAGAAGGGCAAAGATTAGATTGATACAGTTGCAAGAAAGCCAGATAAAGCAGAGATATTGGGCAATGTGAGGAATAGAGACCCTCTTAAAAAGAAACTCCATTATAGCCTGCTTTAAGATTCTAACTCCACTTTAGACTCTTCCAAGCTCTTCTCTCCATGCACCCAAAATCACTCTCTTGCTTTCTTCTGCTTATGCCGTTCTTCTTTATCCCTTTCTTTGGCTTCTGCTCTCCCCAACCTCCTCCTTCAAATTTTTAACTTTATTTTTAAATATCAAGAGAATATTCCATATTATGTTTCTTATACAATAATGTATAATATCAACACTAGTACATAGTGTGACCATATGTTATATACAATTATTTGGTACTATTGACACAATATAACTCATAGCTACTACTTGAATGTGCATTCTTGGTGAAATCCGCTTTGTAAAGAACCAGCAAGAGATAAACCAGCCTCTGTGGTTACCAAGCCAACTGTTCGACCAGCTTGACTGGAGAGATCCATAACAATCTAGTTTTTGAAAACATGGTATGTGGGGGTCTTTAGTATATACATATAAGAATAGTCCAAAGAGAAATTCAATTACAAAAAAACCACCAAGGGTCACATACCATTTTGCTTATACATAGACAGTTAGTAGAAATGGAGTTGAACATAAAAGTTCTCATGATAGTTGAATGCCAAGTATTGGCCTTCTGAAATTAAAAGAAGAAAAAAATGAATTTTTTTTTTCAGATACAACGCCCAACTAGCCAATCCTCTGCAGTAAGGAGTCACCTGAGCATCAAAGTTGACGAAGAAATGGTCGGCTTTCTGGTCACAATACGATCCCGGTGCATAAAAGGCGGCAACGAGGCAGCAAAGGAACATTTATACTTGCTCGGTATGAATAGTTGGCACCTCTGCTGTGGTCACTGATGCCCCCGGGGCTGGTGCGGGCCGTGGTGCTATTGCGACGTGTAAGCCTCTGTGCTGCCCAGCCTGCAGCATGAAAGCAACTTCCGCTGCTGCGAGAGCTGCAGATTCCTGCTTTGATCAAATTTAAACGACAAATATTAAAAGCAAGAAAGACGAGCATATCTATGTGAGAGATTTCAATTAGAATGAAGATAAAGCATGTAAATAGAGGCTCTCGGTATAAGTTTTGGAAATGGATCGGAAGAAACAAATATAGAGGTTGCAGTGATTGCCTATAAAGTCTTACCTGTCTTTGCCTTCGTCGCTGTAATATACTAATGAACCAAGCCATAATGTAGCACGGAATAAGAAAAGCAGCTGCTCGAAGCAAGAAAAGCTGCCAAACACCAACCGTAAAATTAATTTCTTGACAAGGCAAAACAAAATATATATATACTAAGGCACATCATGTAATGATCGGACTTACGGAGAAAATAGCAGAAACATCATCATCATCTCCATCACCATTTCCAATGCTCAGAGCGTGCTTCAGAAGTAGAAGAGCCATTAACTGCCACAAACCAACGAGCACAATTAGAGCTCATAAAATGGTATAAAAGGAAAAAACTTTATGAGACCCACAACCATAATGTGTGTGATGATATATATGGCTTGTTATGAAAAAGGTTGCAATTGCTTACAAGGAAAGTAACTGAGCGACAAAATGCAGCTCCGCTAGCACTTGAATCAGCATAGTCATCATAGTCGGCCTCAAGAAGATGGCGCTCTGCTGCAACCATCGCCAAAAGTCTCGGGTCATGTATGTTGAGCTGATTTCCAGCAATAGTCCAGGCCGAACTGCAAACAGAAGCACATAACAATGGAGTTTTAAGGAAAAATATATTGAAGGACAAAATAATATTAGCATATCAAGTGTATTGGAAATTCAAGATCCTAAATGTATGTTGCGAGGAGAAAAAAAGAAACTTACCCAATATCAATAGAAGTATCGTCAGATTGACGTGGAGGAGCAGTATAGCCGGGTTGGTAAGGCTGCAAAACACGAAGAAATTCTTTGATGTCAGAATGACACTCATATAAACAAATATTGGTTAGCATTCATAAGGCATATGGGCTATGGCAACATAACGTGAAGTTCCTTCATTTGAACTTCATATACCAGCGTTAAAACCATACATACTACATGACAGGAAAATATCAGTTGAAAACTTGAAATCAAGGTTTTCTAAATATTTACTATAAAAACTTCAATTCATACACTTGATATTATGTTCTAATTTTTTAGGTGAAGATGGAGTAATATAATCTTCGTCCACTCCATGAAAAATCTTAATGTTAATAATGTTAAATGTTCCTAGGGATGAAAAGGTGATGCCTATCACCAACAAAAATCAATTCGGAAGTCTGCAAAGGCTCAATCTTCTTTACGATAAGAGCAGTATAATTATTGGATTACTTCAGGTAATCGTTACAGCTTATATTGCAGGAATTAATTAGATACTCATCACCAGAAACAGCAAATATGGGAAGTATTCCAAAGAAAGAATATGCATTGGAAGAGTTTTAGGCAAAAAGAAATGGGAAAAGAGTAGTTGAATAAGTTAGCTCAGGTCTACTTAATTTAGCTGATAAGTGCCATCATCTCCCTTAAGAAAATGATGGAAGAGAAAAGTAGCAGGTGGATTCAAAATTTCCACCAAGTTAAATCCTTATAAATTTTATGTTATGATGCTTTCGAGACTATTTAGTGCTGTAACTCAAAAGCATAATCCATTGTGACATGCAATTAAAGGAGAAGCAGCAATTAACCTGATGACAAATCTCGCAAATTATATCCCCTTTCTCATCGCACCATCTTTGGACACACTTCCTGTGAGCAAACTGGATTTAAGAAATGAAGAACAAAAAAAGGTTAGCTACAGGTTACAGTCTTACAGTTATTTTCAACTTAGGTTCTCAGTACCCGAAGCACCTATAATCACAAGATATAACAACTGTGCTATCATGTCAAGTGAACATACAAACTCAACACAACGCCATTCATAGGCAAACACAGGTCTCAAACAGTAGCATTTCTATGGAAGTATCACAGACAGAAAAAAGTATCAGAACCAAACAATATACCTTCAAGCTGCCACTGCAAGCACAAGGAACCTCC